ATAACGCTTTTAAAAATAATCGAAAAAAAAACTGCCTTGGAAAATAAAAAATAATAAAAAAAATCACACACACCTTTTTTACAAACAAACTTTACCATAAATTACTTTTACATATTACCAATTATCTAATATATTGTCTAATCGTTTACATAATATCCACTTATCTATTACGTCTCTAGATATTTTTAAAAAACAAAATTTCAATCAATATCAATATCAATATCAATATCAATCAATCAATCGATTAATAGAACGATCTTAATCAATTAATCAATCAATCACAACCAATTAAACACAACTTTCTGTTCATTTCTTTAAGTTAAAGCTCCTTTTCATTTTGACCTCAAATAATATTATAAAAACTCCCCCTTCCCACCTCCCCTTATCTCCCTTTTTTCCATAAACATTTTTTCAGTAACTGTAAATTCGAAAAAAAAAAAAAAAATAATATTTATATCGTGTTTACAAAACTATGACGTTATACTCTTTATAGTAAAAATAATAAAATAATATAAACGGATCATAGAAGAATTTTTATTTATTTAATTTTAATTATTTAATTACAACAACAAATATATATATATATATAATTATATAATTATACGGGTTTTTTTTTGGACAATTCGCGGAAAATCTTTATTATTTAAATATAAACCTGAATAATTTCACATTCACCCATTTTTTATTTCTGCTTTTTTTTACAAACAAAAAATTTTTTTTTTTAAAAGTTTTAAAAAAATGAATATTGTTTGCAATTCACCAAAATTTGAAGTTTCGAGCGAATCATCATCTTACTTTAATCTTCACATGCCAGGTACTTATATGGCGGCTCCAGCATCGACTGATGACAATAATAAAAATAGTAATAACAACAACAATAATAATAAACAACATAATCATAATCATAATCATCAATCTTCCTCAAATTCGTCGTCGTCGTCGTCGTCATCATCATCATCATTGTCATATTCTTCTTCTTCCTCCACATCAAATAATCCTTCAGGTTATTTCGACGTTAAACCATTATCTTCTCCAGCCCAAACACCATATTTTGATGCCTTAACAAGTCCATTCATAAATAATAATTTCAATAGCCTCAATAATGATGACATTAATAATCATCAACAACGTCACAATCAACAGATTGCATTCTCTTCATGGTTAAATAGCAATAATAATAATAATAATAATAATAATGGTGGTGGTGTTTTTACTTCAACATTACCATTGACCCCCTCTTTATTTCCAAATACTTCTAACACATCCTCCTCTTCTCCCTACTTTCCCTTTTCTGCTTCGCAACTACCTTCCTCAACTCTACCACCACCACCACCACAGCCACTCTCGTCTTCATCTTCTATTTCTTCATCACTTCCTACTTCTAGTTGTCCTTCTTTATCTTCATCATCTTCATCATCATCTACATCATCATATACATCATCTGCATCTCCTACATCACTACAAAAGCGTCATTTATTATTAAAATCTTCAGATAATAGCCTTTCAAATAAGAGACCTAATTCGATGCCTTCTGGTTCATCTTTTGCCTCTAATAGTCCATTTCAAGAATTTTCGTCTGAAACTGTGGAAAGCTTATTACAACAACTTGACCAGCAACAAAGAAAGACAATTTTATTGCTTGATATAAGACCTTATTCTTCATTCAGCAACGACAGAATTAAATCTTCTATACATCTTTGTGCACCAACCACTCTAATAAAAAGACCTGCATTCACATAGTCACAATCACCCTCTTTACACTCGTTAATCTTTACTCGTGCATGGTCATATGGCCAAATGTTATTATAACGATTTTTTGTGCCTTTCTCAATACCAGCCGATATACTATATGGATCATCTAAAGTAGCAATATTTGAATTTTTTATCATCAAAGATTTCAAACGATTCTGTTCTGTTGTTTCAATTTCCTGTTATAAATAAAATAAAAAATAAAAAATAAAAAAAT